GGAACCCAACTGACAGCACTTCAACCTGGGCTTTTGGCCACTGGCACTGTGAGGATGCGGGGACGCTAGTTCACAGAACACTGCTGGGAGAAGAAATGCCACAGGCACGCAAGGCAACACTCTGGCAGTCTTTCTTCCATCCTGAACCACCACATGTGCTTGGAACTCATCCCAGCGAGAGGAAGACACACTCCGACAGAAACCTGTGCAGCCACTTGCTATGTGTCTTAGTCAAAAGCTGGGGTCAGCCCAGGCATCGTGCAACAGGTGAGTGTCGCAACGAAGAGGTGCATCTGTATGATGGGATGCACTCAGCAATAAAAAGAAATGACTGAGAGAAACACCCTGGGTGACTCTCTAGGGGATTATGGAAAAAGCCTGTCCCAAGCATCACATTCTGTCATTTTGAAATGATAAATCAGATACAGGGGCCAGGGGCTAGCATTGTGGCTTAACGGGTTAAGATGTCACTTGCGTTGCTGGCATCCCACATGGGTGCCAGTTCAAGTACCAGCTGCTCCAGTTCCAGTCCAGCTCCCTGCTAATGACCTGGGAAAGAAGCAGAAGATGACCCAAGAGTTTGGGGGTCCCTGCACCCACGTGGGAGACTAGCTCCTGGCTTATTTCTGGCCCAGTTCTACTGTTGCGACCATCTGGGGAGTGAACCTGTGGATGGAACCACATTCCCTCTGTCTCTCTGTTTCTCAATTCTGACTTTCAAATAAATAAAAAAAAAAATCTTAAAAAAAATAGAGGAGGGATGAGTGGTGGTCGGGGGTCAGGGGTTGGGACGGGGTGGGCAGAAGAAGGTTGTTTTGCTTATAAGAGAGCAACGGAAGGGGCGCGTGTGACGTGGGGGACATTCAGTGTTGCCTGCGGTGGTGGCTGCAGGAGCGTACCTGGACGCCCACACACACAAGAGCACACTGGTGAAACTGGGGACATGTGATTACAGTATGGACACAGTACATCAGTGCCCTCAGCTTAGCTTGCTTGTTAGGGGCTGCACTGTGTCCAAAGACTCCCTGTGGTAAAGTCCTAACCCCCAGGGGGACTGTGTTTGCAGACGGGGTCTTCAAAGAAATGAGGTGACCGAGAGGCCCTAGTAGCTCGCACGACTGATGTTCTTAGCAAGGCTTTTCTGCATCCCTCTTACAACTGTAGGTGAGTCTACAGCCGTCAGCACAAGTTTCCATTAGAAAAAGAACAAATTTAAAAAAGACACATCCCAGCTTGCAGCATTGCTCCTTAAGTATTCAACCCAAAAGCCATTAAATGGGCTAGGCACACAGGCATTTGTACATGGCGACACAAGGGAGAATTGGTGTGGTGAGAAGGACTATACACAAGGGAGACAGGACAGTGAGAAAATCAACAGTAAATCTCCGGAGGTCCCTTGAGTAACAAAGAAGGGGAAACTAATCATCTTTGTGATGCTGAGTGGGAACTACAGAGATGGGTTTGAATTCATGGTTTTCTTTTCTTTCCTTTTTTTTTTTTTTAAAGATTTATTTTATTTATTTGAAAGAGTTACAGAGAGAGGTAGAATCAGAGAGAGAGAGGTCTTTCATCTGCTGGTTTACTCCTCAAATGACCACAATGGCCAGAGCTGAGCTGATCTGAAGCCAGGAGCCAAGAGCTTTCCTTGGATCCCAAGCACTTGGGTCATCTTCCACTGCTTTCCCAGGCTGTGGCAGAGAACTGGATTGGAAGTGGAACAGCCAGGACACGAACCGGTGCCCATATGGGATGCCAGTGCTGCAGGCCGGAACTTTAACCTGCTGCGCCACAGCACTGGCCCTGAATTAATAGTTTTCAATACAGATATTTAAATAAACATACTTGAAATTATATGCTGTACTCACATACACACACATGCTGTCACACAAAAAACACATATATGCTCACATGCACACTCACACATGCTCACATTCACACACATATGCACACACTCACACACATGTACAGTCTCTCACGCACACACATTCCCCAGCTGTATCCACTGAGTGGGCCTGGAAGCAGCACACCCCTGCAGCAATGATCACATCTAGTGCTCAGATCGTGGTCTCTAAACACCACCCTACACAGAACAAACGTCACCAAGGGCTCTGAGGAAATGGCTGATTGCAGGGCATCCTGGCGTGCCACAAAGCAAGGATGTGCTCAAGCAATCGTCAGAGCTCGCCCAAAGACACAGAAGCCTTTGAGGGGCTTCTACTGGCCAACTGGGACAATCTGAGCGTTAAAAAGTGATAGTAGCGGGGCTGGCACCTTGGCGCAGTAGGTTAATCCTCCGCCTGCGGCGCCGGCATCCTATATGGGCGCCGGTTCTAGTCCCGGCTGCTCCTCTTCCAACCCAGCTCTCTGCTATCGCCTGGGAAAGCAGTAGAAGACGGCCCAAGTCCTTGGGCCCCTGCACCCACATGGGAGACCAGGAAGAAGCACCTGGCTCCTGGCTTCGGATCGGCGCAGCTCTGGCTGTTGTGGCCATTCAGGGAGTGAACCAATGGAAGGAAGACGTTTCTCCATGTCTCTCCCTCTCACTGTTTCTAACTCTACCTCTCAAATAACTAACTAAATAAATATTTTTAAAAAATGATGGTAGCATAAACCCACTGAGTAAAGCAGAAATGATGTGTGATGGCACTATAAAGATGAAAATGAAAATGAAAATCAGTGAATAAATGGGGAGGAGAAGCTGTTCCTCACGGGGCAATGCCAGTTCACAAATGGAGAGGGACCATGTGATCAGCGCCTGGTTAGGAACCGACTCCACCAAGAAGCAAAGGGATGCCGAAGTTCATGGGTGGATGCTGCGTGAGCACGATACTTGCATCATATCAAAGTCTCTCCCCATGAAAGCCTCGCTAATTACAGAGAGAAATAGCAGGCTGACGCCACCTTTACTGCACGATCACAGTGGACATCCTGGCGACTGAACAGACTACTGTGTCCCTGAGAGCGTGAAACAAAACACAGCTTCACTTCCCCACTGCTCCTGCCAAGGAGAGAGCCCGACTCAAACTACCAGGAGACAACAGACAAACCCAAATGGAGGAGCTCCCTACTAAGGAGCCACCTAGGGGCTGGCACGGTGCTACAGAGTCAAGCTGCCACCTGCAGTGCAGTGCTGGCATCCTATATGGGTGCCGTTTCAAGTCCTAGCTGTTCCACTTCTCATTCAACTCCCTTCTTTTTTTTTTTCTTTTCCTTTTTTTTTTTTTTTTTTTGACAGGCAGAGTGGACAGTGAGAGAGACAGAAAAAAAGGCCTTCCTTTGCCGTTGGCTCACCCTCCAATGGCCGCCGCAGCCGGCGCGCTGTGGCCGGCGCACCGCGCTGATCCGAAGCCAGGAGCCAGGTGCTTCTCCTGGTCTCCCATGGGGTGCAGGGCCCAAGCACTTGGGCCATCCTCCACTGCACTCCCGGGCCATAGCAGAGAGCTGGCCTGGAAGAGGGGCAACCGGGACAGAGTCCGGCACCCTGACCAGGGCTAGAACCCGGTGTGCCGGCGCCACTAGGCGGAGGATTAGCCTGTTGAGCCACAGCGCCGGCCCAACTCCCTTCTGATGCACCTGGGAAAGCAGCAGAAGAAGGCCCAAGTCCTTGGGTCCCTGCACGTGTGTGGGAGACCAGAATGAAGCTCCTGGCTTCGGCCTGGCCCAGCCCTGACCACTGTAGCCATTTGGGGAGTGAGCCTGCAGACAGAAGATCTCTCTCTCATTCTGTAATTCTTTCAAATAAAATAAACAAATCTTAACAACAACAATAAGACAAAAGAACCACCTGTAACATTGAAAACATCAGGGTCCGCAGTACCGGGGACAGACAGACCGAAGGAGACAGAACCCTGCAGGTGAGTCTTGGCTCGACGCACACCTGCTCGCCTGACCAGGCCGACAGCTGCGCACCACGGCAAGTGAGCTGCCTCTGGGTGGGGGTGGGGCCTGGCAGCCTCTCTGAAATCATTTCCAAATACCGACAGAAGTGAGGGCGGCCTGTGCCGCACGCCCAGGATCGATACTTGACCTGTCTGTTCAGCTCTTCCACTTCAGTGCAGGCCTTCTCCTTGTCTCTCTTTAAAACTCCCATCTGCTTCCTGTTGAAGAAGCCAAAGTTAATACCACTTCCGACTGGTTTTGTGTTTGTTTTTTCTTGGCCATTGCTGTGCTGACTGTGCTGACTGGCTCATCCCAAGTCATGGAGAAGGCAGGACTGTGGCACGGGTCACGCTGCCAGCCCTATGCGACCAGTCACACCCAGAGCGTCAAGGGCCCCCCGGCAGCCTTATATCTATGATCAGGGATGGGTCAATGCAGACGTGGCTTCTTAAAGGGAACAACCCCCAGGTTTCAGGACTGCTGTCAAGGACTGCAAGTGCAGGCTGACGGCTGCCCCAGTGCTTCCACTACCCAATCAGACCCCCGTCCCCAGCACCCGACAGCTGAGCTCATCCCCAAATTCAAAGCTGAATCGCAAGGCAAACAAACTTGGGAGATGAGATGGCTGCAGCCGTGACAGCAGGTATGTCCCCTCCTCCAGCATTTCCGCCTCTGCCTCCCTCCCACTCTGATGGACGCGCCCCAGCCCCCCGTTTGCGACTCAAGTCCTGCCCTTCCACGGCTGTCTCTCATTGTTGGATAAACCAGCAGTGATCCCTGGAGAAAAACGCAGCTGACACTGTTTTAGGGATGCAACTGAAGTCACCGCCTCCCCTGGCCCCGCGTGCCGTGTGCAGGTTGAGAAGTGCCTGCACGACCTATGTATGCGTGCTGGGGCTGCTGACATGGCGCCGACCAGGCTGCAGTGGGCATGGAAATCGGCAGCTGCTGGCCGGTGGAGGGTGGCTAGAGCACCCTGGACCTGTTCAGAGGGCCACAGGCCTCTCTCATGCCGGGCTCTCGGACCCGCAGGCTGACCTGCGAGCCAGGCCCTCCTCGGCTCACCCCTCCCAGGGCAGAGCTGCTCGCTCACCTCTGAGCCTCACTTGCGTTCTCTGCAGCTTCAAGCTCCTGCTGAATCCTTCCCAGCTCGGTTTTCAACACAGTGTTCTCTTCAGAAAGCCTCTGAAACTCGACTCTGCGTGAAGAAATAGAAGCCAGAGAGGTGAGATTGGGGGCGGGGGGAGGGGGAAGGAGGGGAGGCGGCTGCCGCCTGCAGTCCGGAGCCTCACTCGGCTGGAAGCTGCGCTGTCTCCACGTCCCTGCCCTGGAGGACCCGCAGGACTCTTCCTTCTGCACAGCACAGTGACACACGGTGGTCTGCGCGCCCCAAGGGTCAGGCCACAGTAAACACAGCAGTTCACCGATGCGCCGGGCAGCCTGGATCCCTTCACTTAGTGCCCACGGCTGATGTGCTCCCGCATCGTGTAACCTCTACCTGCACATGTGAGTGTCCTGGTTCCAATGCCAAGTGCTGGGTGCAAAGGGCGCTCAGCCCCCTGCAGGTGAGCTGAGAAACACAGGGAGCCACAAGACCCGAATGCACCGGACACATTCTCCACAGAGTCCCCCACCCAACCTTCCGAGGTCAGCCCTGAAAGGCGGAACGCGGGGGGATGCCCACTTCAATGTACAGAGAGACACATGAGGCAAGGTGAGTCCTTGAGGTGGGAAAGGCAGGAATGAAAGCCACGGTGATCCAAGACTGCCTGGGGCATCTCTGCTTTCTGACAATTCCACCTCTGCTTAGCTGGCACTGTCAATTTACGAAATCAAGCAATTCGCCAATACAGTTACCAACTTAAAACCCGTACTTCCTGCCAAGGGAATTCAATCTGTTTTCCAAAATGTCGTTCAAGGGCTAGCATTGTGGCATAGCGGGTAAAGCTGCCACCTGCAGTGACCACATCCCATATGGGTACCAGTTCACGTCCCGGCTGTTCCACTTCTGATCCAGCTCCCTGCTGATGGCCTGAGAAAAGCAGCGGAAGATGACCCAAGTGCTTGGGCCCTTGCCATACTTATGGGAGACTTGGAAGAAGCTCCTGGCTCCTGGCTGGCCCAGCTCTTGCCATTGATGCCATCTGGGGAGTGAACCAGCAGATGGAAGATCTCTGTGTCTCTTTCTCTCTCTGTATAACCCTGACTTCAAATAGATAAATCTTTTAAAAAAAGTCTTCCAGGACCACATACAAAAAGTGGCGCAGTAATAATTCCTTTTAAAATATTATTTATTTGAAAGGCAGAGTTAGAGAGAGAGACAGAATCTTCCATCCAATGGTTCATTTCCCAAATGGTTACAACAGCTGGGACTGGGCCAGACCAGAGCCAGGAACTTCTTGAAGGTCTCCCACATGGGTGCAGAGGCCCAAGCACTTAGGCTATGTCCCACTGTTTTCCCAGGTGCATTAGCAGGAAGCTGGACCAGAAGCAGAGCAGCCAGGACACAAACTGCCATTCTGATGTGGGACCGCTCTGCCCTGGTGGTTGCTTCAGCAGCTGTGCCACGGTGCCTGCCCTGTGGGAATCTGTTTTTATACAGATTGGTGTGGCCGACGTGTATTCTCCTGAGCAGGTGATCTGTGGCGTTAGTGCCTCATTTGTCCATCTAGAAACACCCAGAGCCACACAATCTTGTCCTATCCAAACGTGTCCTTGGGCCATGCCGTCGTTCTGCACAGCGGAGGGTGCAGTCACACGAACTGACAGGCTGGCGGCGTCGCTGGGCAGGATAACCTCACAGGACCACCACAGCACATGCGGTCCATGCTGATGGAGATGTTACGTGGGACGTGGCTGTGTGAGAGCTTCCCTCGCTGTATTCCCTGCGACAGCCAGAAACTACGAACTACCTGACGGCATCAGCGGGAGGAAAGTATGTACAGTGTGGTGCATCAGTCACCAAGGGGCACCCACTGCAGGTAAAGGGCAATGCAGCTCACAAGCTGTTACCCTGTGGCCGCGAGCAGGGGCTTCTTGTCATTCGACAAGTCACATCCGAACACCAGCCTCAGCCCCTTGTGAGGGAAGGTAAGACCTCCGTCTTGAGGTGCCCTAGGAATATCATCCTCTGGGTCCCAGGGACCCTCTGCCCTTTGGCTCCCAGAGTGAATGAGGGGACAGGGTCCTGACAAAAACCCGGCTCTTTTTTTATCTTGCCTTATTGAAGCAATCCAAAAATACACCAATTTAGGGGCAGGCGCTGTGGCGCAGTGGGTAAAGCTGCTGCCTGCAGTGCCGGCAACCCATGTGGGCGCCAGTTTGAGTCCCGGCTGCTCCACTTCCGATCTGGCTCTCTGCTATGGAAGATGGCCCAGGTCCTTGGACCCCTGCACCCTCGTGGGAGACCCAGAAGAAGCTCCTGGACCCTGGCTTCAGATCAGCCCAGCTCCGGCCATTGTGGCCAGTTGGAGAGTTAACCAGTGGATGAAGGATCTCTCTCTCTATCTCTGCCTCTCTTTCTCTCTGTGTAACTCTGACTTCTGAATAAATAAATCAATTTTTAACAAAAAAAAAAAAAAA